GAATGGATGGATGGGTGGGTGGGTGGAATGGATGAATGGGCAGACAGATGAAATAGATGGATGGATGGGTGGGTGGAATGGATGGATGGATGGGATGAATGGATGGATGGAAGGATGGATGGATGAAATAGGTGGATGGATGGATAGATGGGTGGGTGGGTGGATGGAATGGATGGATGGATGGATGGGTGGGTGGGTGGAATGGATGGATGGATGGATGGGATGAATGAATGGATGGATGGATGGATGGATGGATGGATGAAATAGGTGGATGGATGGATGGAAAGATGACTGACTGTGAGATAAATAATATTACATTCTGTTAGAAGATGAGTGAATATATATGTATGATGCAACTAAGTGACGAGATTGTATTGAATATGTAAACATCCATTATGTCAGCTGTGTGCACATATGTGTTGGGTAGTATGATTTGTATCAAATCTCTTGTGTTCCTTGTATTGGATGTTTGTTGCTTATGTAAGAGCATGTGCTCTGGCTGGTACCACACCACCCGGATGCGAGTCCCGGCTGCACCAGAGACTGTGAGGCCTTGGGTAATTCTCTACCCTCATGACTTTGAGTTTCCCCATCTGTAATCTGGGGCTAATAACGGTTATCCACCTCACAGAGATGGTTTGTAGCTTAAATGGGACAAAGAGTCTACAGTCCTTACAGGGTGCCTGGCACATGTAGGTGCTCCACAAATACAAGCATTTTCCATGACTGTTGTCATTACCGATGAATTACATGTCCTGTTTTATGGGGACATACACGTGCTGTATTGTGCACCAGGAGAGGGGTTTCCTTGTGTAGTGTGTGAGCTCACTAGAGCATGTGTGTTCTGTGCTGTAGTTTATGCTGGGTTGAATGTGTACTTTGGTTTTCTATTTGATGTGTGTGCATCTTCTCATGGTTCTTCATGTCTTTGTGTCATCTGAGGCTCTGCTGCATTGCACGCGCTCATGAACTGTAACGTCCTGCGCAGGGATTTTAGTGGTGTTGTAGAGCACGTCTGGCTGCTAATGGTGGACAACACAGACTGCTGCGTTTGGCTTACATGGTATTTTGTTTTTTTAAAAAAATTGAATTTGTCACTAGTATTTAAAAACTGAAAGGTTTCACATAAAATCAGATGACTACTTTCTCTTTTAAAAACTAAAAGACCCGACAATATTGCCCTTGTGTTCTCATAAGCTAATACTCTGCCCGACTTGAGGAGGACAGACCCCTTCAGGTGGGGTAGGCAGTCTGGAGTGCTCCCTCACCTTGACACCCAGGGGGCTTTCGCTGCGTTTCATCTCATTTGTGGCTATTGTTTCCATGCCCATCCTGCTTTACCCCCAACCCCCTTCCCTCTCTGGCTTGCACAGTCATCTGGGATTGCTCCTGGCTGGGTTATGAAGGCGCAGAACCTGGATTCCTTTCCGACAAGCCCAAGAAGAGTTGGTGAGCGAGGGGAGGATGTGCACACCGCCCCCCCACCCAGGAGTCAAGCATCCCGGATTCTTGAGGCCCCGAGGTCTTCTGGACCTGCCCTCTGCATTAAGGTCGTAGCCGGCAGCGGTACTGACCCTGCTGATGGAGAAGAGCAGCCCTGGCCGGTCGGAGCACACGCCGGTGAAGCAGAAGCGCAGCTTCCAGTAGAAGAGGTGCTCCCAGATGAAGGTGATGAGGCTGAGGGCCATGGCGGCCGCCAGCATGTAGAACACGCCGGCCATGTTGTCGATGTCCAGCTGACTGCTCATCACCTCGTTCTTCTCGTTGTGGCAGATCCCTGTGAGCCACAGTGTCTCCAGCTCCTCCATCTCGCCTGCACAGGAGACAAGAGCCGGAGGCTGTGAGGAGCGGGGCATGCACTCTGGGTCGGGGGCAGACACGGCAGACTTAGAGCTGGGGGACCTGTGGGCACCTTACTGAGCGCTCCAGGCCTGCGCATGCTCACTTGCGTGGTGAAGCTCAAATGGTAACGGGACCTACCTAATACTGTCGTCGGGAGGATGAAACAAGATAAGGTGTAGTCAGGTGCAGTCCCTGGGAGGGGGGTGTGTGGGTGTGTGGGTGTGGGTGTGAGTGTGTAATCATTGTCATTATGTTCTACCCATCCTTCTTTTCTCTGCCCGTGCGCCCACTCAAGCCTGGAACAGGACAGGGCATAAACTGGCAGCTTGCTACCGCGGGAAGTCTCGCATTCCAGTTATGACTTCATCACTTACTAGCTGGGTGAGTGCAGAGCCTCAGCCCTCCTGTCTGTGAAATACACAAACAACAGTGCACCCTTCCTGGAGTTCTCATGAGGACCAAATGAGCTCACATCTGCAAACGTCCTAAGTGCAGTGCCCGGCTCATAGCAAGTTTTCATAAATAGTAGCGTTCATGGGATTATTGCGAAGGAAATGCCCGGCACATTGCACGGGCACACGGCAATCCTCAAATATGTTAGTTTCTTCCTGCATCTTCCTTTAGAACATCTGGGATTGTTCCAAGATGCCACGCACTAGCAGGGCACTGAGGGCAGAAGGCATTGAAGAGAGACATCCCAATCAGCTCTGAATGGCCCCTTGCAAACTAAACACCGCCCCACTTCAGTAGGCAGTTAAAGAAGCAGGTGGAGTTTAGAGTGGGAAAGAAAAAGTAGACGTGCTTAGCATTATTTTGTCTTTCTATTATGTGCATTTCATCCAGTTGCCATTTAGGAGGAAATTCTCTGATCTAAATGTCTAGCTATTAAGCTGTCTAGCAATTCACTAAACTATGGCACTTACACTATGATTCAAACTTTAAAAATTATCCTTCAAGGACAGTGAAAATCAAACAGGATGCATATGATGTTAAATGAAAAGTATGACTATGGTGTGTGTGTGCCCGTATATCTGTATCTAAGATACAATATGAAACATTAGTAGAGACAAGTAAAAGGAAACACTCCAAGTGTTTCTTTGATTCTCTTTTGAAGAGTTTAGCATAATTACCGCTTTCATACTGCTGTCTTTTTTCAGTTTTGTGAAATTAGCGTGTGATGCTCTTGTCTGGTTTGCTCTCTTGAATGATTTGGCTGAACAGAGAAATCTAAGTTGATCCTTATTTTCCCTGGGCCTTTTGAAGATGTTACTGGGTTTTCTTCTGATCTAGATTACAGTTGTTGAGAAGTTGGCTAATAATTTAATTGTCTCTACTCCCTACGCATTCTGTGGTTTTTCTCTGATGGCTCTTTAGACTTTCATTTTGTCTTTGGTGTGGAATGTAGGTGTGGACTTGCTTTATTATTTGTTCGGCTCTAGACTCAGTGTCATTCTTTGATGTGTGACTCAGGATTTTAATTCTGGAAAAAAATCTCACCCATTCTTGCTTTGAGTATCAACTCTCCCTATTCCCTTTTAAGAAAAAAAATTAGTGGGCGCCTGG